GCTTCTGCGTTCTCGACTCTCGTCGCTCTTCTCACTACCCCTCCGATTCTGGCACACTTCAACCCTGCTGCCCCTACGGAAATCCGTACAGATGCAAGTGGGCATGGCATTGGTGCAGTGCTGGCTCAGAAACAACATGGCCATGATTGCGTTATTGCATATGCCAGCCGCCTCCTATCCGCCCCTGAACGTAACTATTCGATAACAGAGCGTGAGTGCTTGGCTCTTGTATGGGCGGTAGCGAAATTTCGACCTTATCTATACGGACGCCCATTTTCGGTAGTTACCGACCACCACGCACTCTGCTGGCTGAACTCTCTGAAAGATCCATCAGGCCGCCTTGGTCGCTGGGCTTTGCGCCTGCAAGAGTTTTCCTATTCGGTGGTCTACAAATCTGGCCACCTACACCGTGATGCCGATTGCCTCTCCCGGTACCCTGTCGACGATCCTGAGGACACTGACGAGCCCACGGAGAACTCTATCTTGTCAGTGTCCGACTTCCTTAATATTGGGGAAGAACAGAAGCGTGATCCAGAGCTGCTTGACATCATCAGCCGTATGGAATCCTCCACAAATGATGCTTCCGTCCGCTACTTTGTCATTCAAAAAGGTGTGCTATACCGTCGCAATTTCCGACTAGACGGGCCCGACCTTCTCATTGTTGTGCCTAAGCATTTGCGCCGCTGTGTTCTCACCGAACTTCACGACGCTCCCACGGCTGGACACCTTGGCGTATCCCGCACGTACGAGCGCGTCCGGCGCCGTTTTTTCTGGCCAGGCCTTGCTCGTTCGGTACGCCGATACGTCGCCACATGTGACCTATGCCAACGTCGTAAGACACCATCGCTGCTACCCGCTGGCCATCTTCAACCAATTGACATACCCGCGGAACCATTTTACCGTGTTGGGTTAGACCTGCTTGGTCATTTTCCCACATCAACATTGGGAAACAAATGGATAGCCGTTATCACAGACTACGCTACACGCTACGCTATTACGCGAGCTCTACCGACCAGCTGTGCAACCGACGTCGCTGACTTCTTGTTACGGGACGTTATATTGATTCACGGTGCGCCGAGACAGCTTCTCACAGACCGTGGCCGTACATTTTTATCCCAAGTCATCGCCGACATTCTGCGTTCTTGTTCGACGCAACACACACTGACAACCGCTTACCACCCTCAAACAAACGGCCTTACGGAACGATTTAACCGCACTTTAACAAATATGCTCGCTACGTACGTGTCGCCCGACCACCGAGACTGGGACCTTGCCTTACCCTACGCAACTTTCGCGTATAATTCATCCCGTCACGACACAGCGGGCTTTTCGCCGTTCTACTTATTGTACGGAAGAGAGCCGACTTTACCACTGGACACAGTCATCTCAGCTCACACCTCGTCCACCAGCGAGTATGCCCGCGACGCGATTGCGCGAGCCGATCATGCCCGTCAGCTCGCTCGCGCTCGGCTGATGGCGTCGCAAACCAACCAATGCCGTCGGTACGATGCGGAACATAGAGACGTACATTTCGCTCCCGGTACCCTCGTTTTACTCTGGTCCCCTCATCGTCGGCTGGGCCTATCCGAAAAACTTCTGTCTCATTACACGGGACCCTATCGTATATTGCGTCAAGTAACACCTGTCACCTACGAGATCAGCCCCATCTGCCCATCATCATCTACTATGCGGCCCAGTGATATCGTACACGTCTCGCGGATCAAGCCCTACAATAATGCGTCAGACAACGACCTTTAAAGCACCGGGACGGTGCCTCCGCCGCCGGGGGTCATGCTACGTGCCAGTGCATGGAGCTGAAGAAGACGAAGCAGATAGACTGGCACGAGCTAATCTGTGTGGCTGGCGCTGCTCGCCGAACCGTCTGTAAATACATCGGTGACTACCCCTCTGAGTCAGTCTCCTTCACGTAACAATATCATCATTTCAAGCAGTAGTACCAGAATTTAAACAATGGAAACCTTCAAAACCACCTTGGACGCTGCCACTTCTCAACGTTATCCATGAAATAGACGGCATAGAGAAGAAACCAGACATGGCACCTCTAGTAGCGGCACAGTTGGTACTTCATCAACTTCATGTAATGCATAATGAAAAAACGAAGATATATACAGACGGATCACGCACAGAAGAAGCGTCAGCCTGTGCGGTCTTTATACCCGAAATTCAGAAAAAGAAGATGTACAAATTATCGCACAAATCTTCATCGACGACATCAGAATTGGTGGCTATCTTTGAAGCAGTTAAGCTTATCTGCGAGAATCCTGAGCCACGAAAATGGGTGATATGCACTGATAGCAAACCTGCTCTTCAGCTAATCAGAAATGCGAGATCACCTTTCAAATATAGTGAAATAGCACAGTGTATTGCAGAAACTGTCGAATATGCCTCATCGCAGGGTCACAACATCGTATTCCAATGGATACCCAGACACATTGGAATAAAGGGAAATGAAGAGGCTGATAGCCTCGCGAAGAAAGCATTGAAGGAAGGACGGGATTGCGCAATCCCCATGTCTGGGGCGGATATTCGACATTTTATAACGCAAGGAGCTAACCATTGTTCGATGGAGAAGTGGTTTGAGAGCCCTAAATCAAAGGAAACGGTACTATATGAAGTTGATCCACACAGAAAATTTTCCATAGCTACAGACCTCCCACGACACCTAGAGACATTAATCCACCGACTTCGATTGGAAGTAGCATACACAAACAGCTTCCTGCACAAGATACATCGATTCAACTCACCGGAATGCCATTGCGGTCATGCAGAAGAAAATGTTCGCCATTTTCTTTTGGAGTGCGTTAAATACGCGAATGAAAAAGAAAAATTAAAGAACAAATTAGCAAGTTTGGACAGACGGCCCCTGACAATAAAGAAACTACTTGGACCATGGCCTGAGATGCATCTCCAGAAAAAGGCAATAATCTTCCTGACAGACTTTTTAGTGGAGACCGGACTGGACAAGCGCCTATGACAGACAGCCAGAGATGGTAAATATAAAATATGGTCATGTATATACTGACAGTAGAATAGGAAGGTGTGCGTGTAAATAGTTTATGACTGTGTGAACTGCGCTTAGAAAACTGTGTATTGGCATGATATTTGAACTGGTTTCAGTGTGCTCATTAAGTTTTTTTCTTTTCGGTATTGTTAATTTCTGGGTACCGTTCTGTATTATTATTTTATTTTTCGCTGCAGAACTTTGTGATATGGAGTAGCCGAGGCAATAGGCACCTCAACCGCTCCACAGCAAAACAGTTAAAACAGAACAGAACAGAACAGAAAAGCGGGAGAATGCAGTGACATGACAAAATTATTGGAAATTTACGTTCCAGAACAACAACTTGCGGGGATTTGCGGTGTTTTTGAAAAGCGCTAATACTCCTTCAGTTTTTTGGCGATACCGTGACATTGCTGCTGGAGCTGTCGGAATCTGTTTCTTTTTTTGGCAATACAGCTGTGATCATCGCGAATTAACCACTGCGAATCATCGCAGATATTCAATTATACGCCCGCTACCAACGGCGATTGCGTCGACTTAGTATGCTGGACCTCACGTGATAGCACACCTCGGCACTAGCTGGATGTGATTCTGCTACAAAAGGCCCTGTGGACTAAGTGTAATTGGGTTTATACTCTTGTGAACTGTATTGAAGTGCTAGCCCCCAATCCCAAACCTATGATTATATGAGTACACTACAAGTGTTGACATTCTTACACGAGAAAAGCATATCAAGGTGAATGTTATACCTAACGATAGTGTTCTTGAAATTGTTTGGGTTTCATTCTGTTGGCCAGCAGCATGTAGCTCTGGTTATTGCCGCATGCTACAGGCCACCTCATTTTCTAGGAAATTCATCTCAGGAACTGAATAGTGTCTTAGGCTCCGCTCAATCCACGTGTAATAAATAACTATTCGCTTAACTCCTCTTCGCTGGAGCCGAAGCATCGGCGCTTCGCGGAGCGCTGTAGCTTTGATGCACGCCCTTACCTGAAGGAGCATGTCAGGCGAAAGGCACACAAACATATCCAGCTATTCATTACAGTAATCATCTCCCTTACTGACAGCAATGTCGATCCGCAGAGTGCAGCCACGATGATCACTGAACGGCATGGTACATTTACACCGTATCATTACGTATAGCCAGAGCGTGAATAGAGAGCGCACTTTTGGTGCATGAAATTGAAATTAGCGTTATATTGCAGTTGTGAAGCGTGAAAGTCGCAAAAAAGCACATATAAGCATTACTGGAACTTGCGCGAACTGAACATGCTTCACAATTCGGAGTCATTTGAGGTCTTACAAATTAGTTCAGGCCGCCGACAGGCTGATACTTAACAATGCAAATACTTAACACCGCCTGAAAGCTGCTTGACTGTAACTGGGGACATTAAACAAGGGCGCTACCGGTGCGACTGAGTAAAGGCGCATTCATCTCAGGAACTGTGTCATAGTGATTATTTGTGATAATTAGGGGGATGTCATAGTTGCCGGTTCTGGACGCATTGGAGCACAAACGTCATGCCTTGCCTAACGTACTTTTCAGCATAGCTATGTGATAAAGAAAGCCACCGGAATGTTCGTGACCTCTGTGTACCAATAACGGAACATTCACGCCAAATATTCATTACATTAGGAAGATCTCAGAGACTTCACCGAACCTAATGTTGGTATTTTTTTCCTTGATTGTGATATAGACTGTGTTTCAGTGTGTATTAGATATACGCCGTAATATCACTGAACTGAAACAGTATCTTGTAAAATATGTATTACGTATCCAGTGGTCACGGCTGTTCGTGTCACTGTACAGCGAAGGCCGGCTTGCAGTACTTGACAGGAGCGTTCCGAACACACTAATTGTCGGTACTCCAACAAGGTGGTTTTAGTGACGTCAGTGCAAGCCATATATTTGCAAAAAAAAGAGTATCGTTTGCCGAGAAGCCACATTGTCTATAAGAGTCGGCGCAAGTGGTCGTACCCGTGCAGTCTGGTTGAGAAGGCATGCCGGCGAGCCCCTGCCTCCTCCCAGCAGGTAGGCGCCGGGGCGGAGGATGCATTTCGCAGCGCCAGCGGCCACTCAACGGGGCCCCAGCGCGCCAGGGCGTCCCTGAGGAGCCCCACCAGCCAGCGGGGGGCCTCGGTGCGCTCCACGGGGCCCCGGCGAAGGCGCAGGCTCAGCGCTCCCAGGGGACACCGTTCGGGAACGTCCACGGGGCCCTCGCTGTCTTCGCCTGCGTAGATTGGGAAGGAAGTGTATCTTCAACTGTTGTTCCGAGAGCCTGGATGTATGTGGTGCCACGCGCATTGATGAGGTGCACTCATTAGCGCCTAACCAACTCCTCCACCCGTGTTGGTCAAGTTCAGGAGAGAACAAACTTTAAAGTAAATGAAAATGAAACAGTGACATGGTTCACAAAGCGACCTACCTTTGCTGCTAGGCTTTCCGGAGGAGCAGGTAATCCTTGAAATTTAATATCAAGTCTCTTTGGCCTTCATTACACGAAAAAAGCTTCTGCGTTGAAACTCGCCCAATTAAACATAGCTGAACAGGCCCAAATTACTAAAGACTAGGGCAGACGTGGCACACCCCTTAAATAATCACAGGTGCCTCCCTCCCTCATCATCTAAGACAAGTAGCGCAATGTTTTTTCTGCACGTACTGCGGTGTGTGTGCGTATGCTTATAAGATATCGTCCCCCCTGCATCTCTACAGCTATGGGGGAAGTTTAGAGTGAAGGTGAACATCAAAGTTCTAAACTCATTAAAATTGAAATGAACGCTTTGTTCCTAAAGCGAACACCAGGATGGCTACAGAGTGGGTACAGAGCGAGTAAATGACCTAGTGCGAATAAAAGTGCAAGCGAAATGCGTAGCTCGGCAGGTAGAGTATAAATAAAGAGAAAGAAAGCCACAGAGTGCAATGAAAAGGCCAATATGACTCCGCAGTCAGCTTGCTAACGAAGTGCGATACCCGATTCGGAGGCTGCCCTCTACCGCAAATCGATGACACCTTTGATTGTCTCCATCGTGCCACGTACTTCGTCGTGATTATTAGCAGAATGCTTAGGACCTTATGGACTGAGAGAAGACGTCCTTTGTAACGCCTGATTGCCTCTACCTTTTTAAGGTCATGCCTTGAGGCCTTTCTAAACCCCCCTCCCCAGCCAAACTCAAACGAATGATGGATTCCTTGCTTCAAAGATTTAAGCGATCTACATGTCTATGTTATTTAGATGACGACATTGTATTTTTACCCACGTTTGAAATTCACCTTGAGAGACTGACAGCTATTCTTGACGTATTCCATCTTACTGGTCTTCAGGTAAATTCGTCCAAATGCCGATTCAGGAGCCGCTTCATCACGATCTCTGGGCATATTGTTGATGCTTATGACGTGACACGGAAAAAATTCGAGCCGCGAAGGAGTTCCCTGCACCGACAACCATCATGGAAGTTCGCAGCTTTGTGGAGCTCTGCTCTTACTGTTAGAGGTTCGTCAAAGACTTTACCGAAATTTATAGACCTCTTACTGACCTGATCAAACAAGACGACCCCTTGAAGTGGGGTCTTTTACAAGCAGCAGATTTTTTCAAGCTCGTCACCCTGCTCATGTCTTCCCCTTTTTTAGCTCACTTTAACCCTTCAGCCCCGACGGAAGTCTGCACTAACGCTAACGGTTACAGAATCGGCGCTTTGCTGGGCTACCGACACTGCAGGAAAAATCGCATGATCGCTTATCCTAGCAGACTGTTGCCCTCCTCAGAGCGCAATTTCCCTTCCCCAAGATACTTCGCCATGGCAACGAGCAGCGTCGGGATCCGCACCTAAACCAAATAATACAACGGATTCAATCCTCCTCACACGACACGACACCTCTCTACGCATGTTTGCCGTGGGAGATAACACCATATATTGGCATTATTTGTCGCCCACCAGTCCCGATCTACTGCTGGTCGTACCAAAGCACTTGCGCTTCGCTGTCCTCTGCGAGCTTGACGATGCACCAACCACAGGTCACCTTGATATTTCTCACACGTATGACCGAGTGTGCCAACGCTTCTACTGGTCTGGCCTTTCACGCCCTGCGTGGCGTTCCGTCAACGCCTGCGAAGTTTGTCAGCGCCAAAAAAGTCATCGGGAGGTCCTGCAGGCTATCTTGAGCCTATTGACAATTCCACCAGAGCCTTTCTTTCGAGTATGTTTGCATCCTCTCCAGTCCTGTTCAACATCCACTTCGGGCAACAAGTGAGTCGCCGTTGCTGCAAATTATGCGACCCGCTACACAATCACCCGAGCCTTTCCCCGACGCGGTGTTCTAGTGGCCAAGATACTTGGATGCTGACCCGCAGGTCGCGGAACTGCATCTCGGCTGCGGCGGCTGCATTTTCGATGGAGGGGAAAATGTTGTAGGCCTGTGTGCTCAAATTTGCGTGCACGTCAAACAACCCCAGGTGGTCCAAATTTCGGGAGGCCTCTACTGCGGCATCTCTCATAATCATATGGTGGTTTTGGGACGTTAAACCCCACATATCAATCTAATAAATCACCTCAGCCTTGCCCATAAGCTGCACTACGGACGTAACTGATTTTTGTTTTTTCGCTTTCAGGCCTAATTTTAATACACGGTGCCCCGCGCCAACTCCTGAGAGACCAAGGCCGTACCTTCTTTGTTCAAGTTATTGACGATGTCATGCATTCCTACTCAAGCCATAAGCGCACGACCTCGCACCACCCCCAGACAAACGGGCTTACAGAGCGCTTAAAGCGGACCCTAACATACATGCTTTCCAAATACGTGTCGACCGACCACCGTGACTCGCACCCACTACCATACGCCACGTTCGCGTACAACTCTCCACGCCACGACACTGCTCGATGATCACCGTTATAGCTTTAATTTGTACGTGAACCAACGTTACCAAAGGATGTATACATTTCTTCCGGCTTCGGCAAAATCAACTACCAAATACGCTCGCGGTGCTATTGCTCGCGATGGCCACGCTCGTCAGCTTGCCCGCAACAGATTGATGGCTTCTCAAACTACACAGAAGCCCCTTTACGCCGAGCTGCTTCGCGAAGAACGACTTTCAGTAGGTTTTTTCGTTATTTGCTGGTGCCCAACTCGACGCGTCGCAGTTTGAGAGAAGCTACTTTGATGCGGCATTGTCTCGGATTACCCCACGACCTCGTCTCCTCTTTTATCTCGTGACGTGGTTCACGTATCAAGGCTCAAGCGCTACTACATGCCTTTTATACTGTGACCCCATAGACGCGCCAGGTCGGAGCTTTCGCCAACGAAGGTTGTGTTGCTTTGTTTTCACTGACCCTAAAACGCGTCTAGCCGGAAGTTGAAGAAGTTGACTGTGCTGTATTGTGGCTTGCGACTGACCATGTTATAGTCACGTAGCAATATGATGTCGCACTTCACGTCATGTTTCAGCGTTCTGAGCACGGAGGGCCTACTAACCCTCAAGCCGCATGGCCGCAGCGCACATCGCAAACGTCTGGCTTTCCACCCATCTCTGGTTAACTACTCTCAGGGATAGAGAAACTATATCAAGACGCTCTAGTCAGTGCAGTATTGTGTGAGAAGCAAAATCTTTCGCATATATCGCAATACCGCGTGCGAACGATACATGCACACGTCCAAAAAACAATGGCCACACCACGGAAAGTCCTTGCCGTCTACCTAGAAATCATCCCGTGGACACCGTGTGGTCTGTAGCTTGTTATCTCTGAACTGATGCTTTTATTTTTTTGTATTATTCATGTTTTGTATTATTCATGTTCGAAATGTGGGGTGAGACTTTTGAAATGAGTTTCAATATTTGGTTATACAGCAATTGTAATAAAAGATATGGGAATAACATTTGCAAGGAACTTTGCTGATAGGAATGGTAGTGGTAATAACAGCTATGGTTATGAAGTTTCCATTAAAGCTATAAAATAGTTTTAAATATCATTTGGGGTCCCTCATTTTTATTTTCTCGGGTTTTTACATATGTACCTATTCTTTGAGAACTAATGATTGCAGAGCATTGAAAAATTTTACAGCAGTAGCAATTACTGCTTTAAAATGGAACTGGAAGTGTGAGTGTTAAATGAAAACTAAATTCGCTATCCATTTTACCTTAGTGTATGAATGAGAATCGCCCCATGCGAATGGATTTTTCATACATATGAAAAACAAATACACATAGGCAACTGATTGTAGTTACAGTTAAATAAGTACTACTAGTTCACAAGTGCAAAACGTTCCACCTATTATTGCTTTTTTGATATCAAGAAAAGGGAACACAAACCTGCAAAATGTTTTCACAAACGCAGAGACCACTTCTAGGTACAACCATATTTTCTGTCAACGGGTTGAAACAAAAGGACGAACACTTATTTTCAAAACCTGAGGTGCACAAGTGGGACACAATTACTGAATGATAATGAAATGCTAAGTCAGGCAATTGAAAAATCTTCAAATCGAAAACAAAATCACTTCCGACCTCTCAATCTTCACTACTAAAACATTCGTGTCGAATCGGTACCGTTTTCAACGAACCACATTCAAATGATGCACGCCGTAGGCTTTGCGAGTGGTGATCAAGGAGGATTAAAGAAAAATTGCTGGAGTGGAAGCTCCCGCAATGCCTTGCCAGCAGAACTAAAGCCACCTTTTGCCACTGCCAAGATGTCGGAAACATGCTGTTTTCTGATAGTGCCCACTTAAAGATCAAGTGGCTTTAATATGTTATGTAAATGCTACGTTAGTTCTATATTAAAAGATAGTTGTTCCCGACAAAAGAACAGACAGAAATAAGTATGAATGACTGAATCTTGAAAAACTTTGCCTCTAATTAGAGGCTCACTAAGATAACTAGTAACTGAGAGACGCACTTGGAGCACTATGTGACCCGAAAAAGTTCCCACATTTAACTCGTTGGGTATGCGAGGGAAACGCTTTGTTTTTAATTGCTGAATGGTGATACTTTATCATTCCCCTGGTAAAATGGCCGCCACAGTTGCCATATTGCCAGAGGAACGGCTTCACGTCTGCGCAACCATTTCCAATCCAACAATTTTTTTTTAATCCTCCTTAGTGGTGATGCACACTTCCGTCATGATCTCAAAGGACACAAATTGGGGGTTAGTTCCTTTTGTGTTCTATAGCTGGCACCATTAAGGCCTGTTCACACCAGCACGGATCCGTAATGCAGAGAGGCGGTTTCGTAAAGTGGAC